GCGGGGGGGGGGGCTCCCTGGAGGGCGAGGCCCTGCGGGGAGGGGAGGGAGGTCTCCTTGGGGGGACCAGTGAGGCCTGGCCCGTCTGGCTGGGCGCTAGGGGCCGGGGTAGGAGGCCAGGCCTGCGGCAGCTCAGCCTGCACCTTGGCCAAGGCCCAGTGCCCCCCTACCGTCGGTGCCATTTGGAGCCCTTGCCCCGGCTGCCCCGGGCTGCTTCCTTGCCCAGGCAGACTGAGCTGGCTGCTGGGACGGTAGGCAGGGGCCCAAGGGGCCACCCTCACAAGTGACCTGGCTGCCCCGGCCGTTTGCTCCAGGCCAGCAGCGAGAGGAGATGAGTCGCCCCCAGGCCCCCACAGCGCCCAGGCCCTGGCGGGCTCCACGGCTGTACCCGGGCTCATTCCGGACCTGGTCGCCCGGATCCCCTGTGAGTTTTGGGGCCTCTGGAAGGGGAGTGGGGATGGCCTGGCTGGGCGGGTGGCAGCCGCTGTCCATGGATGCCTCTCAGGTCCATCTCTGTGCTCCCCCCGCCCCACCCCCAGGGCTCCGCTGGGCGCTCATAGCCACTGCGGTCGTGGCTGGCGTCCTCGTTTCCTGCCTGCTCTGTGCCATCTGCTGCCGCTGCCGCGGCCGCCACAGGAAGGAGCCCAGAGACGAGGAGGCCGTGGGCCTGGGCAGTGCCCGCAGCACCATCAACACCCACCTGGTGAGAAGCGGGCACCCAGCTGGGTCAGTGCCGGGAAGCAGCTCAAGGTCCAGGCTCGGAGACGAGCTCAGCCCCCAGCATGGTCTGGTCTGCCCAGAGCAGAGGCAGGGGGGGCCGCCTGGCTGGCGAGGTGATGAACAAGGTGAGGGAGGGCGTGGGCTGCGGGAGCCACAGCAGTTCTGGAGGAGGGCAGTGGCAGAGAGGTGGACTTGGGGCAGTTATGGCCGGTCCCGCGGAGCTGAGCTGGGATGTGAGCCCTTCTGGTGGCCTGGCCTGGAGGTTTGAGGCCTGGAGAATGCCGCCTGGGACGCCGGGGCTCTGATGGGGGCACGGTCCCAGCAGCACCTGTCGCCAGCCCCTGTGATACCACCCGGGTGCAGCCAGATGTGGATCACGTGGAGCCTGGCCCTGGGGGGCCCCAGCAGTGGGGGTGCCTGCAGCTGTCCGTGGAGTACAACTCTGGAAGCCAGGAGGTGAGGGGCCCCGAGGACTTGCGGGATTTTGGAGGGGCGATGGGGGAAGGGTGGGCACTGGGTGCTGGGTGATGCGGGGCTGACCAGGAAGGGGGCCCTGGCTGAAATACCCCTTGGCTCCTAGATCAAGGTGGGCCTCAAGCAGGCAGCGGACCTGAGGCCCCGGGGCCCAGGCGGCATGATGGATCCCTACTCCCGCGTCAGCCTCTCCCCTGAGGTTGGGTGCAGGCACGAGACGAAGGTGCACCGTAGTGCCCTCTGCCCCATGTTCGAAGAGACCTGCTCCTTCCACGTGAGTCGGGGCTGGGTGGCCAGGGGCCTGGGCCAGGCAGCGGTGGCCACTCACATCTGTCCCCGCAGGTCCCCCCTGTGGAGCTGCCCCGGACCGCCCTGCGGGGGCGGGTTCTGGACCACGAGCTCTTCCCCAGCACGAGCCGCTGGGCCCGCCCAGCGCTGCCGAGGTGAGCCTGCTGACCCCCGGACTCCAGTCCCGCCCTGCCCGGTGTGCCGGCGGGGAAGCTGAGGCCCTTCTTGCTGTCCGCAGCCCGAGCAGTTGGGGGAGGTGTGCTTCTCGCTCCAGTATGTGCCCGGCTCGGGCCGGCTGACCGTGGACGTGCTGGAGGCCCGAGGCCTGAGCCTGGTTCTGGCAGGCGAGAGCTGGACCTGCCCCTCCACATGGATGGAGGGAACCCTGTGCTCAGCCCTCAGACCTGGGATGCCCTATGACTCCTTTCACTTGCCCAGAGCCCTACGTGAAGGTCCCCCTTGTGCCGAACCAGAGGAAGTGGAAAAAGAGAAAGACATCTGCCAGGAAGGGCATGGCCACCCCTTACTTCAGCGAGGCCTTCACCTTCCCTGTGCCTTTCAGCCAGATCCAGGTGGGCTGCCTGGAGGAGGGGGCGGGTGGAACCTCGCTCAGGGCCAAACTGACGGCTGTCTTTCTCCCCCTCCCACCACACCTCTGCCTGCCTCTACCCAGAGCGTGGCTCTGATGCTGGCCGTCGGGGCCCGGGGCCCTCAGTTCCGGGCCGAGCCTGTGAGCAAGGTTCTGCTGGGCGCCTGGGCCTCTGGTCAACCCCTACAGCACTGGGCAGACATGCTGGCCCATGCCTGGCGGCCCATCGCCCAGGGGCACTGCCTGCAGCCGGCCAGGGAGGTGGACCGGGCCCAGGCCTTGCAGGCCCACCTGCGCCTGCCCTTGCCTGGCTCCTGAAAGCAGCCCCGGCCCTCGGTCTCCCTGGGCTGGGCCACGGGCCCTGTGCAGGCTGCCCTGGGGGCCCACCATAATAAACGCCTTCTCCCCCATGGCAGTGCGTCCTTCCTGAGCCCCGTGGAGCAGGGCCAGGGGCTCCACCGGCATCGCCACGGCCCCTCCCAAGGACAAGGAGAGGGTCTCCTCGCCAGGCTCAGCCAGGCCCTGAGGGCTCTGACCCATGCCTGACCCCTGAGTGAGGGTGCAGGGGCCCTTCCTGGCCCAAGGGGGACGATACTGGGAGGTGGGAAGCCCTCCCCATCGGTAGCAGCTGGAGAGTGAGGGATGGGCCCCTGGGGACACAGTGGGCAAGTGGGAGATATTTGGGGGATGCTGACAGTGGACAGAGGGGAACCCAATCCCAGGGACCGCCCCAGTGCCTGAGGGGCCCCCAAACCCTCCGGATGGTGACTGCGGGGCGTCCCCTTCACGAGCAGCAGGGGGCAGTAGATGCCTTCGGAAGCCTCCCCAGGCGTTTGGGGGCTCAGCCTGGCCTGGAAAGCAGCTCTAATCCCCGCACATCTGGACGGCTTTAGCTCTCCCTGACCCTCCCCATGGCCCGAGAAGCCGGCAGGGCTGGGGCCATGCACCCCCAGCTCAGAGGGTGCCAAGTCATGGTTATCCGGATGCCTCTGCTGGGTGGGGGCCCGGGCGGGGGGCGCAGACCTGGACCGGGGTGAGAAGGGCAGTGCCGGGCCTGCCTGGGGCAGCCAGGCGGGCCCCAGGCCCCCTCGGGTCAGGGAGAGGTTCCCAGGTGGGTGGCGCCGAAATCCTGGGTTTGAAGGATGTGTTCCGAGCTGTGAGCTGTGCAGGGAGCTGGCCCGCGGGCAGGGCGGTCCAGGCAAGGCTGCACGTCCGTCCAGTCGCCCCCCATCTTGCTCACGGGTGGGAAGCTGGGATCACGCCAGCTTCCCTGGAGGGAAGCCCTGCCCCAGAGACCCTGGCCACTGCCGCAGGCCCCAGAGGCCGTGTTTGGGGGTCCAGCCTTGCCCCGGGCCAGCTTGGGGACAGGAGGACATGGCCAGCTCATGTCCGAGACGCCTGCTGGGTTGGAGGGGGCAATAAGAAGCAGAGTGCGAGGCAGCTGCTGTTCCCTGGGGGGCCCGGAGCCCTGGGGAAGCCGAGTAAAGCAGTGTGGATCCTGACTCAGAACAGGTGGGGCCGGGCCGGAGTGACCCCTTGGCTGACCCCTGAGCTGTGCGCCACGGCTGGCGAGGCCGTCGTCCTGTCCTCAGGCTCCTTGTAAGATACAAGGGAGGCATCTCGAAGTCATCACTGAGCCCTAAATAGACCAACCCAACCTCAGCACCCCCCCCCCCCCC